CTGTTCTGGGCAACTGCTTGCGCATAGCCAGGCCTGTGAGAAAAGAAACATGCAAAGGTTATTCTTTTGAATTCACGAATGTATTATATCAGATATGTTTTCTCATTGAAGTTAACCTTACTTTTTACAGATTTTATTTTTATTTATTTTTAAAGAGAGGGGAAGGGAGGGAAAAAGAGAGGGAGAGAAACATTAATGTGTGGTTGCCTCTCACGCACCCCCACTGGGGACCTGGCCCACAACCCAGGCATGTGCCCTGACTGGGAATTGAACTGGTGACCCTTTGGTTCACAGCTCGCGCTCAATCCACTGAGCCACACCAGCCAGGGCTGAAGGTAATGTTACTTTTTTAAAAAATCTTTCAGTTGGGGTGGATCTCTATACATTATGAGAAGCAGTCTGATAATTGTCTAGTAGAACCCATCGACATCTTGGGGGATTACTTGTGAACGGCACGTGTTGCTGTTCCCCTGGAAGATACCTCCTTGCTCCAGCTGGAGTCTCTCCGCGGCATCGGGCAGCAGTGCCAGTCCAGCTGGGGGAGTCCGTGTTTGTGCCCTCTGCTTTAAAGTGGGAGTACGGGACTCCAGGGACATTAATAAAGGAAGTTGGCACCAAATTGGAGAAAGCAAGACATTCGAAACATATTACCATAGAGCTTGGTTAAATAACTATTTTTCTACACATTATCTGTAATCTGTTTCATAAAGTATTTATATATATCTGATAACACATACAAGTTGTATTTAATAATACAGAACTCTGGGACCAGATGTTCAGGGTTCATGGGGCCAAATTGAGTTTAAATCCCATTATTGTTACATACTCTCTGAGAGATTTTGGCCAAGTTACTTTTCAGAGCTCAAATTTATTTATCTGTAAAATGGGGAGAGTAATAGTACATATGTCATAAAACCAGGTAGCAATTAAACAAATGAGTAAATGTGAAAGCCCCTGGCAAGCGCCTGGGCACTTACCTCCTGGGCACGGCATTTGGGTGAGCAGCTTTTGTGCTTGGAGGTCACATGTGTCTATAAGCAGTGACTCTGGATGGCAGCCGGCAGGGCAGGAAATGGGAGGGGAGGGGACAAAACTGCCTGTTGGTGCTGAGAACACCAATGGGCAGATAGAGACAGCCTTCAGCCAGTCCGTTCTAGTCTCTTCCCATCCGCCCAAGCACTACCTAGTTTGCAAGAACAAATTAAAACTTTGCAATGAATTTGCCTGATTTAGAGGTGGAACTATCAAAACTCTGACAAGGAGGTCAAAGTTTCATAACGGACAGATTTGGGCTTTAAACTTCTGGCTTTCTTATTCTAAAGATTGTATCACTATAGCAATATTGGCGACTGAGGAATGCCAGGAGTTATTCATTTTCTTCACTGAGGGGTATTTACTGCAAATATTTCTTTCTTTAACACAAAAAGTAATCCTTAGGATAAAAATAAATCAACAGTTTTTATTCTTTCAGACTGTACACTCTTTGTTTAGATGGGTGTGCAAGTAGACACACTGCATTCAGAACCTTAGAAGTTTGCATCTTCCATCACGCTTTCCTTCCGCCTCATGGTACATAGATGTATGCAACAAGCTAGGAAGTAGACCAGTAAAGGGAGAATTCGGGTGGCACTTCTGGCACTAAGAACAGAGGACAGCTCTGCCATGCATAAGAGGTCAGATTTGAACCATGACATGAAATCAGTTGTCTCATGTCGTGGAGTTCTAAATATGTTGTATTTTGAAATTAGTTGTTTTGCTGCCCCTGAATTTGCTTAACCACCTTGTGATTTAAAATGAGAAATATTCTCCTATTCCTGATCTTTTTCTCAGTGATGGGTCTTGATTTGGAGAATTTTCTGGGCTATTGACATAGTCGACACTATCATTTCGAAATCCATAGTATTGATTAATGCTCTAGTAGAACAAAGCAGGGTTCAGAAAGCAGATTGTTAACTTTACAGGGTGTGCCCTGCAGTACAGAGAAGAATCCACACTCCCCTTCCTCTCCACTCCCCTCCCATTTCTGCTGTCCTTGCTGTGTGTTAAGTAGTTCATGGTGCTTCACACAAGTTGTCAGGTTCCCCATTCATAAAACAAACAAAGACACTCAAGTCTCTGGGGAAAAAGAAAGCTCTTCCTCATTAAACACAGGCAGAAAATGTTTTTTGTTCCTTTGAATTTCCCAGTGTAATTACTGTATCTGTCTGTTAGACCACTCATGGTGGTCTGCTCTTTCTTACCTTTTCTGTGGACAGTTCTAGAGGGCCACACAGCACACGTGGGACTTGCCTGCAGCCACCAGACCGCAGTTTTGTGAGGATTATTAGTCCAGCATGTGGGCACCTCTTTCACTGAATGCCAGTCCTGGAGCAGCAGAGCAGTGTGTTGGGCTGGAGGACTGGGAGGTGGAGCCTTTTTGCTCACTGCAGCGAGTTCCCTTCTCTCTCTCTCTCTCCCGGCTGTGCATTGGCTCTGCATGCTCCGTGCACTGCTCCTCGGAGTGAAATAGCAGGGTGTGCTCACAGACCCGGGTGTGAACTGCATTCTCTATTTGGGGTGCCCGGGGAAAGAGCACCAGGAAGGAAGGACGGCACCAGTGCCATGGGCCAGCTCTGCTGCTTCCCTTTCTCCAGAGATGAGGAAAAAATCAGTAAGTGGTTTGTACTGTGCAGAATCCTAAGTGCTTGACTGTTTTGTGTGTCTGTCTTCTAGGGATAGTTTTTTTTTTTTCTTATGGGAAAGAGCAGAATAATTAGCTGTGATTTTTCATGGGCTTTTCTTAAAAGGATTGGAGGGTGTGTAGTTAATGATTAACTGTAAAAGTACACAAATCAGTAAAGAGGCTAGGTTAAATGTAAAATACTGAAAAACTCATTTTTGATATTCATCTGTTGGTAATCTTACACTTTATTTTTATCACACTGTCTGGAGTCAGAGTTTAGTTTTGAATTTCTTTAAATCACTGCCTACCATTTGATATATGGTATAAGACAGGCTTCATTTTGCTTATTTGAAATTGGGATATTTTCAAAACAATGCTCAATAACAATATATAGAAAAGTAAAGCTGGCTCTAAAATGACATGTGTTATATATTTTTAGATCTTTTCATGTTTCTTCTGCTTTGTCCCTGTGTAACTTGTAAGGCCACTCCAAACAAGTGATGCCACTTTGCTCCAGCACAACCTCACTGAATATTTTTAAACAAATGTCAGGCAGATTCCACATTTGCTGATGGCCCAGAAAACAGAACTTAAAGTGATGACATTTGCATTGATTTTTTTTTCTTCCTCACTGGCTTGTGTGTATTCACTTATAATTAGCTTAGTTAAATACAGTACTGGCATTTTAATTAGTGTGCCAAATAGGACTTGCCTTATACTAGTTGCCCCCAAATATTGAATTTTTACTTTTTTTCAATAAAATGTTCACAGTCATACTTCCTAATTCTGCAGCCACATTTCTGTCTTGTCAGTGCTTTCTTTAAATAAATTTAAGTAGGTCTGTAGAATCTAATTCAGATACTCAAAGGTCCATGTCTGGCTTATGTTTTCTGCTGCTTGTTCCTCAGGAAACTAACGAGGAATAGGTTTTTTAAGAAACCGATACATATCCTATACCTATCCACTTGGGAAATAAGCCAGTTTTGCAAGAAATCTTCTGGGAATGCTTGGAATAAATTTTAGAAGAATTTGGAGCACCTGATTATTAACAAGAGCCAGTAGTTATGCTCTAAATTTTAGTTATGAAAATTATACTATACAGAACGTGATGATCTTGATCTTAAAACCCTAGATGACTTTACAAGAAAATTCTTCATTTCCTAACAATGAGCACTGGCATCCGTTTGGCAGCCTAAAACTTTTCAGGTATTTGTCAGAATGATTTATTTACAGTTCCTGGGGTTTTTGGTTGATTGATTCCTTCCTTAAGGAATATGTCTCCCTGAAAAACCTTGGTATGGACAGATGCAGGGACAGTGAGGTCTTTCCTACCCTCTCCACCTGCTCTTCCTCCACTCCAGGTTTTCACTCAGAGCATCTGCTTTCCTTCCATTGTTCCTCCTCCCCTGTCTGGAAGCCGTCTTCTTGGCACTGACTGAAGTCAAGTTGCACCTCAGTGAAGAATCTGCTCTCTTCTGTCTTATTTTGGATCACTGGAGGGCAAAGTCTTGTGTTTTACATACAGCGTTTCTTAATATTGATTGACAGGAAGTGGTATATACTGCTTTCTGGGTTTGTTTTCTCGAGTTCCAAAATTTTAAAAAGAAAATGAAGACAGGACACCGTGTCTAAAGTGAAGTTGTAGTCCAGAAGTACAAATCATGGTTAGAAATCAATGCATTTGCACCCCCTTTCCCCTCATTCATCCCACTGGCCCCTGGTCCTCCCCACTCTCTCCCCATCAACTGTCTTTGATTTTTGTCATTGCTTTACCATTTTCCTCCTAATTTGTTCCACTCTCCACTTACACACCCATCCACTGTTTTCTGGTGCTATTGTTTAATTTTGTTACTATAGGATGCTCTAAAGAGAAGCTTTTCTGCCAGACACTGCTATGTTGCTGGTAATACATGTCGAAAAGTACTCACAAAGAAGACTTGAAAGAAAAGTAGCAGAGAATTCATTAGCTAGCATGCCTCAAAAAACATGTAAATTAGCATTAATGGTAGATATCCAGCCCAGAAGTTGTGTCGATGACATGTACAAGAAACTGTAGCAGACATTTGGGAGGGTCCAGAATTTTTCTGATCTTGCTACTAGATGTACAGTAACCTCCTGGGTCTAATTCATCTTTGTGTCCCTACCTAGTAGCCTCCTTAGCCTGCTTGGAGATACACAGACACATGCTTAGCAGGACCCACTAGGGACCAAGCACAAAAATGCTAATGCCTGCACTCTTCTAATTCTGCTGTAAAGAGTGATGGGCCCTCAACTGGTAGAGAATTAAAGGAGTTTGTGGTGGAAGTTTACACCTGTGGATGTCATTCTCAAAACACAGGCGAGTCCTCTACCGTCCTGCAGAGCTGCAGAAAGGATGTACCCAGCTGGCCAAGTGGTAAGGACCCAGCGACCCCGCTCCCGCCCACTGCTCTTTTATTCTGCTTTTGCCCTTGGTGGTGGTAGATGGAAAGTATTCTCATTTGATTGATTAATTAATGCTACTATTTTAATCTATTGATAGCAAACAAAGTGGTTTTTTAAAAAAATCAACTAGTTGTGCACGGGCTTAAATTTATGTAGAAAGTTAACTGTACGCATAACTAGAAATCTTGATGACAGGGTGAATAGTCAAATACAGTGGAACTCATCAAGGCCTGTATTTCAGTTAATGCATCACAAAGCTGTTAGACCCTTTTGGTTTAAACCCAGCAGTTGAATATTTTCTCAAACTGTGCTCTTTGGCCACAATAAGTTGAATATACTGACAGTAAATGCATGTTTCTTGGGAGACTAAGCTCTTTATTGTTACACAGGAACTTTAAATATCACCATATATGTTGTAGAATTCACAAATGTTGTAGATCATCTCCTATGTCATTCTTGCTGAATTCTTATATAGCACTTGTTTTTTAAAACCACCCAATTCCTCACAGTGCACTTCTTGAAGGGACTGTCCATAAACAAGAATGTTCCTGCACAGGCTTACTGACCACGGCAGCTTGTCAATCTTACTAAGTTAACCTCCAAAGAAAACGTCACTAAAGAGACAGTTCTGTAACCAATTGGAAAACGTTTTAGTTGTTCTCTTCCTGTTGCAGATTTCCCTCTTTGAAGAGCATTGCTTTTGTGTAGGGTGAAATAGGTGACTGTCCAAACATAAACCACCCGCCCTGTGGGGCAGGCAGTTTGCAGGCACGGGAGGCACTATGGGGCGAGAAGCCTCTCCCACGGGTGTTGTAAGGAGCACTGGAACGGCTGAGGAACAGAGACTGCCAGCCGGTTACTGCTAGCCCTGAGGTCTGTGCTGCTGAAAATAAAATGATATTGGTATTTATTGCATTGACACATTTTAGTTCTATAACTATGCATTTTAACAATACATACACATTTTATTTTCATACGTAAAATATGTTCCAATATACTCTTTTTGTGTGGGACATTACCAGGACCATATATAGCATTCATTTCATAAATATGAGTCAAACCTCAAGATAGTTTGTTTCCTTTTTTATCTTTTGATGGTTTGTTTCTGATGATTTGTAATGTGATGGTATAACACTAATGCATAAATTGAGGTTAGCAGTGTTAATTTCATGTCTGGTGAATACTTAAATTTTTGAACCTTAACTGCCATGGTGGTGATTGTTCAGTTACACCAAAGGAACTCTGTATTTAGGGTTCCAGTTCTCCAGAAGGCTTCCTATAAAGTCTTATACCTGGCTCTTCTCACTTGCACTTAAAAACACTGACTTTGAGGTTGGCTTTCCTATGTATGCTGTGTCTCACGGCAGATTTCAGGCCGCCCTTTGGCAGAACCCATGGCGTGTGCGTCTCTTTCATAGCACTGGAACCAAACTCGGTGTCTTACCCAGGAGGGTGTGTTCCAAATGTTCGTTAGTGAAGAGAATGATACCCATTTCCTGTAGTGAATATGAAAGAACTTTCAGTATAAATGAGCCTATCAGAGGACAGAATTTGGGATGACTCTGTGTAATGATGGAATCTATAAAGGACTTTGGTTACTGAATGTATCAGGAAAACATTTTAACAGGTTCTCACTTATATGCTCCAGCGTGGGCCCCAGGAAACGTGTGATGGGGAACCTCCCATCAGCGGACAGCACCATTCATTTCCTTCCTCGTGAGTAGAAAGGGGTTTGTACACAGGGGATGCAGCGTGACTCCAGCTCGGCTGCTGCCTGGTGAAAATGTGAGGTCCCTCCTTTAGCCTGCAGTTTTCACTGTAGGAAGACACAGAACTGGGAGTCAGGAGACCTGGGTGACAAATCATATCCTGTCTCACACTGGGCAATTGCTAACATCTCCGGGCCTCCGTTCCTCATATTTGAGAAGTGGTGGCTGAACTACCATGATCTTGGAAGTTTATTCATCCCCCCGGCTCCCCATTGTTTCCTTAGAGTTAAGAGTCTAAGAAATAAATATTATAGATATGATGCAGTGTTTTCCTTCCTTCTACTGCTCCTCTTTCTCCTCCTCCTCCTCCTCCAGGATGGTCTGAAGACCTGCTTTTCTTCTTTTTAATTTATCAAATGCTTATCACGTGCCAGGAACAATAATGCCATGATCACTTGGAAAATTGTTTATGAAATGAAACTTAGAAAATAGATGCTCGACTTCCCATTTAAGAGAGGGAGGTAGCTGAAAGCTAGGAGTTTGGGGCAGTTCTCAGTTACTGTTCCCCAGGGGTACTGAGGGCCCGGAGCTGCAGGACGCTGGGCCCCAGGCCCTGGTACGTGCTGCCCCCTTCCTGAAGCAGTGAGGTGTGGCAGGGCCAGCGCCACTGTGGAGCTGAGGCTGCATTTGCATCTGATGTCTGTGGGTAATACTGTGGTAGCAGCAGTAATGTGCAATATAAAACATTTAACCGTAGTCACTGAAGATTAGGTTTTACTCCTTCTTTTATTAAATAATGTACACCCCAGAGGTTTATGTTTCTAAAATTAAGTATAGGAACATTAGCGCAAATGCACAAAGTTACTACTCTGTCTTACTTCCCTGATTCCTTTTATTTATTCATAGCCTATATGGTAATTCTATTTCCTTTTGTTGCTGTTCTCAGACCATAGAAGTTGCCTGGATTTGGTGAACAATGCTGACTAATTTCCACTGGGAGTACGAAGGCTATATGTAGTGTTTTTCCCAGCTTCTAGTGTAGTTACAGGCTGTTGTGAGCTACCCCGATGCCCCATGAAGCAATGTGATGTGACCCATCCTTGTGTCTTATTTTTGGGGACCATGTGAGAAAAGGAGTGGGAATCATGGGTATAAAGGTTTTGGTTAAAAAACTTCATATATTACCCCTTCCTGAGGAATATGCATTTTAACAATACTAAATTATCCCCTGTCCTCTTAGGAAATACTTGTAGTAAAATGACAAAATAAATTAAGCAGTGGTAATGACTTAGTCCAAAACAATCTCTGAGGGAGGAATTTCAGGCGGATAGTGAAACTCTTTCAGGGCATCTGATAAATCACTTCCCGTAGATAATTGCCTTCTGTTTAATTAAGTTGGCCCAGCCCAATATGTAGTTGTCTATGAGCTGTTATTGGAAAACTTCTGATACTTACAGTAAAGAAACTAAAAGGAACCCCAAAGTCTCAGTGCTGAAATCAGGGCTTTCTGGAGATGGGTGGACTCATTTTGCATTTTTTGTTCTAATATTTACTATGTAATTTCTCGAAGCCTCTGTACCTTCATTTTAAATATCCACTTATTGTGAGAATTAAACAAGCTTATGTCTATAAAATGCCTGACACTGGGGTTGGCATATGGTAGATGCAGTAAATATAATTTCTTTTTAACAAATGACAGTGTATTGTGTAACCGGTCACCTCAGAAGTCAGCTGAACTGTAGCTTTATTTCCATCATGCCCAGGAAGGGAAAGAATGAACTTACAAGATTCAGACCTTGAATTTTGGTGTAGACTTTGAACATTTATTAGTTTAACATCCTTTCCTTGCGGGACTCCCGCTCCTTCTGGGCTTTGTCCATCACGATGCCTCTCCTCCCTGCCCTGGGAGGCACGTGTGGTCCAAGCAGAGTCAGGCGAAGTCTTCCTCAAGATCTGATAGGGGGTCTGTCTTCCTATTGGGTTGTGAGTGGAAAGGATGTAAGCATAGGATTGGTAGTTGGTAGGGAATCAGTGTGAAGCCAGCACAAGCACAGAAGAAAGAGACTGGAGGAGAGAGAGACAGTCCTGATGATATTTTTGAGCCTCTGATTTGAGCCGTGACTAAGACCGTCTTTATTACATGAAGCATTTTTTTGTGTGTGTATATGTGCTTAAACTGGCTTGAGTTCATTTTTTTGGTCACCTGCAGCCAAAAGATTTCAAGTACTATTTCAGAGGACCCTCAATGTATGTAAGCATAGGCCCATTCTGGAACAAACACATTTCCAAACCCAGTGAAGAAGTGAAAACTCTTTGATATTTCCTGAAGCTTCATCTGCCATTTTAGTGGCGGTGAAATTTATCTGAGGTCTGTTATGAAGAATAATTCAGTTCCCCTCAACTAATATTGTTGACCACGCCACATTTTGAAAAATCCGAGCAAGGTGTTGTGGAAGATACAGTGACGGTACGTGGCCCCTGTTGTTGGAAGGCTACTTTTTAATTCACATGATTAAAAAAAGAGATGGATAGGGCTCCAGTGTTTATTTGGCCCCAACTGAGACAAAGCAAAGATAAAAGGTCTTGAAGTTCTCAGTCTAGGAAGTGAGGCCACACCTCTTCCATACCAGCCGCGTCCAGTGGGAGGGAGGGAGTTTAGTTAATCACCACCAAGAGCGGAACTCCCCTCAAGGTCCAGTCACAGGCAGCAGCTACAGCTTGATGTGGGCAAGTGCAGTTTCTACAACAACATCTTAGCAAGTAAAGTTTCCTATAACAAACATTTATAATGTCCGAGTACAAGTTAACAGACCCTGGAACTATTAAAACCGACCTCCCCGCTGTACAGTAAAGTGCTTTGCCCTCAACAGATAGTCATGGAGAGGGATGGAGCTGTAGGATGCAGATACAAAGAGTAAGGGGAGTTTTAACTTGAAGCCTAAGTCAACTAGGATATAATGATATTAATTTTACTTAAGGCTGAGACAAAGATATTTGAGAAATTACAATTTTTATGTTTGTACAAACTGCCCCCAAGCGTATAAATATAGTCAAGGACATTTGTAAGCCTAAGATATTTATACAGAAGAACTATTGTGCCAGGGAGGAAGTGATATAAAATCAGAATACTTAGGGTAGATGGAGAGGGAATTTTGTATTCCCGAGAGAGACAGAGTTCTTCGTGTAATGCTAATGCAAGAGGGAAGAAAGAATCTGACAGAAAAGGGTGGTACGTTTTCTTCCGCATGTCTCAGCAGCCCTT